TGAGTGAATTATCTTCAGTAGTTACTAAAATATCGTTTTTTTTGTATTTCTGAAAATTACCGTTATATGGGAGGTAGGCGTGGTTATTGTCCGATTTTGCCCATTTTCAATACCGTCCGTTCTACGCCCGAAAGAAGTACACGTACCAAGTTTCGTTACGATATCTTAATTTTTACTCGAGTTATTATGTGCACAGACGGACGGACAGACGGACGGACGGACGGACAGAAAGTCACCGCTTAATTTATGTATACATTTGTCTATATCTATCTCGATTCGTTTTGCCTGTTACAAACAACCGTTATGTGAACAAAGTTATAATACCCTTGTGCACAAGTGCGCTCGGGTATAAAAACTATAATCGAAAATCGCTGATGACGTTACAGGTTCTCCAAATTCTGAAACAGCCAAAAGAATGAGAATGAAGAATTCTATGGAAAATAACGGTGTTTAAACAACGATCTTTTCATGATGCTAGATTGTGCCGATGCAATTCTCAGGAAAGAGTTATTGGAGAGCATTTACAATTCTGTCAAGTTTCAAATTTTTCAAGTTATTCGCCTTGGGCGAGTAGTTATTTCGTGGCGCAGGTTTGATTTACGACACTTTAAGAAACAGGCTTTAACCCAATTCCAATTTTTAAATTCAAGTACTGAATTAAAAAAAAAACCATTATTTAAAATGAATTTTGCATTTTTTATTTACCTAAATCAAAATACTTGTCATCCGCATTCACATTCGCATCCGCGGATGTTAGCTTTTAAACATACGCATCCGCATTCGCATCCGCGGATGTCTAAAATTCCATATTCGCAACATCCCTAATCTAAATACACTTCAGATTTGTATTTAATGGTTCAAAATACATAAGAATTATGCTTGGTTTACAAAATACATGCCGGTAGGTTGGTGGTGTAATGCTGCGCTGTGACCACCAGCTTCAATGATAAAAAAAACGCTCAAAATAGCCTACCTGGGAAAACTAACAAATTACTTTTCTATATATGTATAATCCAGACTTTCAGAAAAATTTGGTTTCATCAACTCCCCAGCCGACTGTCGAGCAGTGTAATTAATCACAAGACAACCTCAAATTGTATAATGAAAGACTACCAGCACTAAGGTTAACATTAAGGTTAGTGGCATGAGCACCTTTGCTACAACTAGTATGTATATTGATGAGTTTTTAGCAGGGACCAGTGATGGAAAAGTAGGCACAATAGTGCCATTTTTGGCACTTTCATTCACAAGGGCACTTTTGGCACAATTCATTCAGTTTTGGCACAATCATAAATTGCAGAAGTTTAGCCAGTATATAACAAACAATCATATCGTCGTTTAAAGTACAAAAGCGAGTATCAACAAAATGCAAAACCGCGTATGTGAGGTTGCATAAATTAGAGAGTAAAAGCACTCATTTTTCAAAATGGTTCTCTTTTTACCTTCCTTTTATTAGCTCGGGATGTAACTATGTAATATTGATGCGCCTAAAAGATGCAGTGATTTCTATTCTCAAGTTACATACCTGATGACAGTACGAATGGCAATTATAATAGGGAGGTTTTAGTTTTTTAAACTACAATTTCTTCAATATTATTTATAAAGCAATCGCATTTTTGAGAGCTTCTGTCAGTTACGCGGTTTGCAGAATGACGATATATTGCTCATACATTCGAAAAGTGAAAATTAAAATCACTTAAAAATTAAAATAAGGGCCATTATATAAAATTAATAAAAAATTTCCAATCTAAAGAATAGTCAAAACTGGTCAAAATGTCGCACTGCTATTATTTCGCACNCTTCAATATTATTTATAAAGCAATCGCATTTTTGAGAGCTTCTGTCAGTTACGCGGTTTGCAGAATGACGATATATTGCTCATACATTCGAAAAGTGAAAATTAAAATCACTTAAAAATTAAAATAAGGGCCATTATATAAAATTAATAAAAAATTTCCAATCTAAAGAATAGTCAAAACTGGTCAAAATGTCGCACTGCTATTATTTCGCACATACACTCAGAAAAAAGCATTTCCCTAAATCAAGAAAACAGTATCCTCATTTTTGAGTTACTGTTTTTTCCTTGATATTAGGAACAATTTACTCAATTTCAGAAATTTTTCCTTAATTTAAAAATAAGGCGTCATTAATTTGAAGAAGTAAATTTACTCAATATAAGTAATAATTTCCTTAAATAATTTTGAATTTTGTCAGTGCTGTTAAGACAAAGTTAATTGCTTTCCTGGCAATTGTCGGCTGTGGCGTCGCGTGAAGACTATTGCTTTAGATTCTGAGATCGCAGGTTCGAATTCGGTTGGGGGTGGTTAGAGTAAAGTAAGTAAATTATTTCAATTTAAATATAAATTACAAATTGTAAAATAATTTCATATATGGAGAAACCTAAATACTGAAATAACATAAAAAATAAATTAGATAATTTTTTTTAAATACAAAAAATTACAATTAAAAAATAAATAAAAATAAAACTTCCTGCTCTGAGACTCGAACTTTGCTTCTCTCGACTAGCACTCCAGAGCTTTGCCCTGTCGGCCATTGTCACTGTTTGAGCGCCGCGAGCAAAATTACATACTTATTCCTTTCACGGGTGGCAAGGAAATTTTTCCTAAAAATTAAGGAATTGTGTTTTCCTTAAACTGAGTCAAATCGTTTACTCATATTAAGGCAGCCATGTCATTGAAGCCATTTCAAGGTAATATTTCCTTAGAATAATATACTTCTTTCTTAGCATCAAGGAATTTTTTTGTGAGCGTAGGCAAGTATATGTGTAAACAGGTCCGAAGAGTTAAATTTAAGTGTTTTTCCCCTTCGTAATTTGAATATTGTGTTATTTTAATATGATTTTACTCTAATAATTCAATGAATTACATTAAAAATAGATACTATTTCTAAAAATACATATGTGGTTCTTAAGAGGTATTAAAATAAAGCAATTTCAATTTCGCGGCACTTTCATCTCCTTTTTGGCACTATTTTTGCCGTCCATTAGACACATTTTGGAATTCCATCCCTGCCATGGACCGTAACAGTTATAAGCGATATCGAAAAAATCATAATTTAATCCTTATGTTTTGATTTTTATCTTTTTCATCAAATTTAAGAATTATTTCATGAGTTCTATGTTTACTCGCAAAATAATACTTACTTGTTGAATTTTATTTTTCTTTCAATAAATAACACTTATGAAATGAGTTTTATTTTTCGTTCAGAAATAAAACTTACGCGTTGAGTTTTATTTTTATGTTGTAAAATAAAACTCACCTTGTAAGCATTATTTATCGTACAATAAAAATTATTTCGTAGGTTTTACTTAAAAATCACTGACCTTATGGCGTTTTCTTTTCTCGAAAATAATGTCACCTTCTTATATGGCAACATTTTCAGAGCGCCACATTTTAAAGAAAGAGCACGCAATATGCATGTAAAGATGCTGAGAAACGAACACGAAAACTTGACAGCCCTAGCGCAGGGCAGAATAAATGCAACATTAGTTCGAGAAAAGAAAACGCTATTAGTTTTCAGGTCAAAGTTATAACACCGCGTAAGTTTTATTTCTGAACGAAATTAAACTAACTAACTATTAAAACTTCATAAGTTTTATATAGTGAAAAAAACCAAAGTAATATTAAGAACCAAGTAATATTCTAAAAGACGATCATTTTCACTACACCACATATTTCTTGTGCAACTTGTAAATGAAAAATAATAGAAAATTTATTTTTTTGCCTTGGTTGTTCTGCTAAGTAAAGTCATGTTTATATTTTAAAATACGTATGGGAGTCATGAAGGTATGAAAACTATTTTGTTTAAATCACAAAATTTCATGAAGTAATTAACTATATAGATAAGATTTTTAATTCGTGTTTAAATCTTAAATCAAAATAAAAATTTTAGGAAAAAATCACTTCTATTAGTTCTTAAAAACACGGAGTTTGTTTTTCAATTTCGATGGAAGACTGTCTTTGAAATAGGGCTGAAATTCTGCCGACATTATTTTTTTGTAACCGACAACGAAATTTTAATATCGGACCGCAAGAAAAAAACATTCGTTTTATTTGACACAGTCTAGTACATATGATTACATGTAGACTGCCCCAAAAAAACCAAAGTTGTTTTTTCTAATGCATACCCCCTCATTTTATTGGTTTTGTCTTAAAAACTAACAAAATAAAATTGTATTCGATTCGTACCGCGGCAAAGTTATCAGAATAACCTTTGTGCAGTTCGCGTGTTTTATTAACTTCCTCATTTTACTTCTATAATACCGCGGTATTTTTATACTCCCTACAGTGTTAGGGCATAATATTTAGTAAATCTGCGTTTTTAGTTTTTTTACCAGGTAGTCAAGACTTTTTCCAAAGGACTATAAATTATAATATGTTTCCCAAAGTTTACACAAAATATGGATATAATGGGTGTAGGTCCCTACCCTTTGTGTAACAACATCAAGGCGTACGCCTCAAATCGGAGGAGAAGCTCGGCCAAACAATAACACATTGTGTAAGCGCCAATCTATTATTATCATTAATCCAATAGAAAATTTGTTTTAAATCTATGGGCCATTTTTCTCAAAGCTAAATTTTAGAAATTTTATTTTATATATTTAGCGACTGGATGGATTATGATAAAAAAGGTTTCGACCTACCCGATATGTGGCTAAAGCACTGTGTTACTGTTGCCATTGCCAGTCCAGAAGCCAAAGCGGTTGCGAGGAGAACTGATGAAACGCTGGCACCTACACCGGCGCCAGCTGCCGCCCCACAAACGATGAACACATAAAAGAAGGATGCCAGACATTCGCTGATTATTGATCTGTGAGAGAGAAAGAGACACGGAAAAAATGAGATAGAAATTTCAGTCAGTACAATATGCATATGACTGTATTTGTTAAAGTGAAAAAAATGGCTATTAAGTCAAATTGCAAATTTATTTGCCACATATAAGCAAGCATGCACATCTCCATCTTTACAGCTTACAAAATAAAGCCTAATAATGGCTGCGTTTCTTTATACATTCCGGATAATCCCATTTCACAGCCGGAATAAACAGAATGCGTTTGAAATATACGTCAACATATCATCAGGAACGTTCTAAAGAATAAATAAACAAAAAAGTTTATTCCAAACATTCAGAATGAATAAAGAAATGCAGTCAATGTGTATGTTCCCCCACAGCTCAGCTAAGACTGAACGGATTTTGTTCCGGTTTTTTTTTGCAAAAAATTTTTTGAACCCTCCTCTCCAACGTACACTACTTTTAAATATATTTTGTTTTATAGGGGCGTGACAATAAAGCAGCGTTTGCATTGTTCAACTTTTGCGTTCAACTCAACGCAGGGTTCCACGAAAAAAAAATTTGAATGCCTAAAAATATCAAAATATAAAAAATATATCAAAAAATAAAACATATATCCAAATATTAACCATAAAAAACGTTTGCATTGTTCAACGTTGCATTCAACTTTTGGTTGAACGGCCTTTCAACTAATCGCTTTCAACAAAGTTGGTCGTCAGCCAATATCACTGTGATAGTTTTTTTCAAACATTTTCAAAGACATGGCCGGAGAAGACGGTTTCATCCAATTTCGGGTATGGGGAATCGAACTGCATCATTAGTTTTTTTAAGTTTTCTGCACGGCTTCATACAACTTTTTATTTTGAAAATTTTTCCTCAAATGGAAATTTGTCAGGTGTTGTACCCTATTTTATATGTAGTTTCTAACTTTTATATGGTTGGCTTTGTCGGCAAAATTTCTTTGACAAAGTTGTTTAGAACGTCTCAGGCCTTAACTTTCATGAATATACCAGAAAGAGTATTTTCTATCAACCCTCTCATGCCCGATGTTGCATATACGCAACATTGTGTTTCCGAGCCTCTAACTCCCGTTATTTTCAAGTTATTGTTTTGAATTTTCTTTTAAATTATAGCTTACTGTGGTGAGAAAGCAAACAGCAAGTTGTTTGGCAGTCAGCTGTACACGCTTTCAGTCGGTAGCTATATTTGTGAGCGAGAAGTTGAAAAATTGATTTTGCGAAAAAACGGTGTTCTAAAAAAGTTGAAAAAAATTATAAAAATAATTATTTCATCCTGAAACCAACATTACTACATAAACATAGAAAGGTAAGAGAGTATTTAGAAAAAAACCCTACATGAAAATATTATTTAGTTTGTCTGTAATAATTTTGTTATTTTCGTGTTGCGTATATGCAACATTTGTCTATTGTGGTAATTTTCGAAAAATATAATTTATTTCAGTATACACTTTCTAAGATGCGCCCAAAAGGTCTGACTCAAGCTGAGATTGATAGAATTGCCAACTTTGATTGGGATGATTCGGCTGACGATGAAATTGAAGAAGAAGAAGATCAAAATATGGAGGAAATTATAGAGGAAACATTGAAAAATTTAGATAACAGAGATGAAAATGTGGAAGTTGGTTTGATTGACCAAATTATTGGAAGCAAAGATGTTGAAGATGTTGAAGATTTGAATGAAAATGAAATCGTTGCACAGGAGGTAATGGAAAAAATTGATTTCAATAGTTTGAAGTGGAGTAGTGCTGAGTTTATGGAATGTGAGACCACCTGGAAAAGTAAATTATGCAGCAATGCGGTGAAAAAACCCATAGAATATTTTAGTACTTTCTTTACGGATGAACTGTGGCTGAAAATATGTGAGGAAACGAATTTGTATGCCATGCAATCAAAGGGAATACAATTGAAATGCACTGTGCCTGAAATGAAAAGGTTTGTTGGCATACTTCTTTATCTTGCTGTTGCGAAAATACCAACCTATCGAATGGCGTGGGCGTCCAATTTCAAATTAGCGGCCGTTGGAAATGCATTGGCAAGAAACAGATTTGATAAAATAAAACATTTTTTCCATTTGAATGATAATTTTAAACAGCCTCAGAAAGGAACGCCTAACTATGACAAGTTGTACACAGTTCGGCCTATGTTGGACATCATAAAAAAACAATTCAATGATATTTCACAGGAAGAATACCAAAGTATAGATGAGCAAATGATTGCATATAAAGGTAACTTATTATTTGTGAACATATGTAATACGTTTCTGAATAAAATTCTTTTTTAGGTCAACATAGTTTGAAGCAGTATCTGCCATTGAAGCCCCACAAGTGGGGTTTCAAAATGTTTACGAGAGCTGGTGTGTCCGGGATTATATATGATTTGAGTCTGTACATTGGAGAAGGAACGTGCAAGACTTATGGCCTGGGAATATCATCAGATATCGTGCTATTTTTATCATCCAATATGCCAGTAAACCAAAATTTCAAACTGTTTTTTGACAATTGGTTTTCTTCAATAAGCCGTTGGTACAATTCGAAGCAACCGATTGAAAAATTGTGATCTAAGCAGTGAGAAAATCCTTCAAAAGCGAGGACGTGGATCAAGCGATTTCAAATATGAAGCAACGCACAACTTGATTGCTTGCCGTTGGTATGATAATAAGAGCGTACAACTGGTTTCAAATTATGTAGGTAAGAATCCCATGACTGAATGCAACAGATGGTGCCGCAAAGAGAAGAAATTTATAACTATACCTCGTCCAGGTATAGTTGAATGTTACAACAAACACATGGGAGGGGTTGATCTTGCAGACATGCTGCTTGAATTGTACAAAATCAACCACCGCTCAAATAAATGGTACATGCGCATAGTATACTGGTGCATAAATTCGAGTTTAGTAAACAGTTGGTTGTTGTACCGCAGAGACATTGCACATACAGACGGCGAATCAAAGTAAATGCCGGTTATAAATTTTCAATTGGATGTTGCTGCCGAACTTTTGAACGCAAGTCAAACTACAGCTGTCGCCAAAAAGAGAGGTCGTCCATCATCACTCCTTTTGACAATGAATTCAGGAACTGCACCATCTTCCTCAGCATCACCAGCTCCATCATCACCAGCTGATTCTACAGGCTCTGAATCAAATTCCTATAAAAGAGCTTATGTTGAAGACCCACCAAAATCACTACGACTTGATGGTTATAATCATTGGCCGGAATGGGGAACAAGAGGCAGATGTAGAGTATGCACCACTGGGTTTCCAAGCTGTAAATGCAGCAAATGTAATGTGCACTTGTGTTCCAATCCCCAAAAAAACTGTTTCGTGTCTTATCATACATAAAATATAAATAAACGGCATTTGTAAAAGAAATAAACTTGTTTTTAAATATATACCACCATTGCCCAATGTTGCATATACGCAACATCCTGTAGCTCTTGAACCAGGACACCTAGGACCTTGAAATTTTGAACAGTTAATATTGATGTCAACCCTATCTTATATATCTACTCAAAAAAATTTTAGCCCNCCGGAATGGGGAACAAGCTGTAAATGCAGCAAATCTAATGTGCACTTGTGTTCCAATCCCCAAAAAAACTGTTTCGTGTCTTATCATACATAAAATATAAATAAACGGCATTTGTAAAAGAAATAAACTTGTTTTTAAATATATACCACCATTGCCCAATGTTGCATATACGCAACATCCTGTAGCTCTTGAACCAGGACACCTAGGACCTTGAAATTTTGAACAGTTAATATTGATGTCAACCCTATCTTATATATCTACTCAAAAAAATTTTAGCCCCGCCCATTTTAATTCGGGCATGAGAGGGTTAAGATTTTGAAATAGTGAGATGCGAGAAATAAAGCGAATATCTCATTAATAAAAAAAGAACTTTTGATTTATATTAATTTAAATATTGATAGCGATAAAGCATATGATACTTTCAAAGAAATATATTTTTTTATAGAGGAAATGCATAAGAAAGAAAAAAGATGTACACCTAAAAAGTATTTTCACTTTTTCTTAAAAAAATACTATATACATATGTATATTTGGAGTCTAATATATTTTTTGAAAAAGTACTATAAATTGCTTACAAAATGTTAGTAACCCTAGGTTTTTGGGATCGCTGAAAACGAATATGACCAAAAAAATATTTTCAACTGACCATTTTCCCGCTATCACCCTCTTACAACCACCCCTGGGGATTAAAATTTCATTTTTCATGCAAAGTTGAGATGTATGTGTATTCCTATGTTTTTTCAACCGTTGAAACCGTAAATGACTATAAAACAAGTAATTTTTAAGCAAAAAACTGGTTGACGTGGTCCAAAGTTATGCGGTAACATATATTATATCTATATTAATAAAAATGTTGTATTCGTATGGCACGGTCGTCAAAACTCGAGAACGGCTGAACCGATGTGAATAATTTTTTTTTTGTATTGTTCGGTATAATACCAGAACCAATGATATCGCAAAAAATTGGAGGGTTGCCACCTATTTGAAAATTTATAAACCCAATTATATTGATAAAATAAATAAATTATTACAATATGGGTATCAAATTAAAGGGTTTTAAGAAGGATAACTGCAGGAAATATTTTTGACGAGGGTTGCCACCTATTTGGAAATTTTAACTCAGACAAATTGATAAAATAAATGTGGGTGTAAAACTAAAGAGTTTTAAGAAGGCGTACAGCCGAAAATATGTTTGAACAGTGTTGCCACCTGTTTAAAAATTTAACTACAGTACATCGATAAAATAAATGAAATATTATATTATGGGTATCAAATTAAAGAGGTTTAAGAAAGATAGCTGCTGGAAATATTTTTGAGTAAAGTTGCCACATCTTTGAAAATTTAAACTCAGTTATTTTGATAAAATAAATGTGGGTGTAAAACTAAAGAGTTTTAAGAAGGCTTACAGTCGAAAATATTTTAAAGGAGGGTTGCCACCTGTTAAGAAATTAAGCGCAATTTTATTGATAAACTA